CCTATAGATAAGGACCAGCAACCTGTACTGGGCAAAAAAAAAAGGAAAATGAATGGAAACTGAATTCTGCATCTCATCCCCCGTTTCCCTCTGTTTCTCATCCCCTTCCTGTGATTCTCGTAGTGGGATACTACAGACTGGTAGGATCCACGAAGGCCAGCCGCAGAGAAGCAGGGGCGTGAAGGGTGGTGCGCATGGCAGGGTGATTCCGGTCGAGTTCACCGGCCGGCGGCTAGGAACGGCGGCGGACTAAGATGGAGCGGAGATAAAATACTCGTGCAGCCACTGGACTTGTTTTTGTTCTTTTAGAAAAGCCATTGGACTTGTTGGGCTCGTACAAAAGACTCACGACGTGCGCACTTCAGTTAAAAAAAAAGCAGCGTCTATATCTCGCATTAGGCCAGAAGAGAGGCAACTCTCGCTGAAGGTTTTTCTTTTTTTTTCTTGAGGGTTTTCCCTCCTTCTGCATCGTATTGGGCAGGCCCACTCCCGCGCGCGCAGCGATTGAAAATAGAAGAGAAAATGGAAGAAGCAGAGGGGTCTGTCCCTGGTGTCCAGCCAGATCAGTGGAGATTTAGACCTGGCCATGGGATACCCGGCCCGAAAAAGCCCGACCCGACCTTATCCATGGATCGGGCCTGGGCCTGAGATTTCAGCCCGACGTCCGGGCTGTGCCGGGCTCGGGCCCGACAAATTTGCGATTTAAGGAAGGGCCTGGCCCGATGGGCTTTTGCTTCGATAGGCCGGGTCTGGGACTGATATTTAGGCCCGATGCCTGGGCCAGGCCGGGCACGGGCCTAGGTTTTTTGCAGCGGACTTTGTTTGGCCCGGCCCGACATTTGGCCAGGTATACTGGAGATGCTAGCCACTCCGCCCAGGTCTCTCTCATGGTAAGCCGTAGGGACGCCGAAAGTGTCTCTCTGCTCGCTCATTTGAGCTCGGGACGCGTCCTACTTGAGGCTATTCTAGCCAGGTTTTTTTGGTTTTTTTTTCTATTTTTTCATTCTTTATGGCATTTTGTTTCTTCATTATTTTTAATTTCTCATGTTTATTTTGTTTGTTTTACTTATTTTTTTGGTTTTCTTTGTTCTTTTGGATACTATGTTTCATATTTTGTAAATATGCCAACAACATTTTTTTAATACACGTCTAAATTTTTTTCAATAAAATTATATATTTCGGTAATACATGGTCAACATTTTTCTATACACATTTTTAACAATTTTCAAATACAAGATTAACATTTTTTGAATACATGATCATACATTTTTAATATTTTTTAATGCTTAATTAATATTTTTAAATAAAAAGATTGGTTCAAACTATTAATCATGTGTAAAGTTTGGTGATGAAATAAGTAAACATCTGAGCTATAAAAAAATGAAAAAAAATGGTAATTTCCAAATAGTGAATAATGCATCCACTATTCATCTTTCCAAAATCAAGATTTTATCATTTTTGTGTAACTCACATGGTTACTTATTTCAGCATCAAAATTTGCACATGTGTAAAATACATCCATATAAACATGTTGATTTATTTTCAGATTTTTTTAATTTAAAATAACATTTTGGCACTATTGAAAATATAGTGCTCCAATGCACCCGCCCTCCAAAGTGACTTTCTGTACTAGCTATTGTAGATGCCACATGAAAGCATAAAAGTTCTTGACACGGAACGTCTTGCCACCGCTAAAAGCATTTTCTAAATTAAGCTGAAGGTGCGTACAATGAAAACATCCACCCCTCATTTGCTTGTCGTCGTGCACCAATGCTTCCTCCCCTGAAGACGTGATCATGGGTCTCGTCTATGTGCTAGGACTCCGGTTGAAAACCTTTGTGACTCGGAATTGACGGCGCTTTGCGCCATCACCCTCCTGGGACGTTGTCGTAGAGCTCAGGCGTCACCGGTCAGGCCTCAACGAGATGTTAAGCTTGTTTTAGGCCCATTCTTCAACTTTGGACGGGTCCTCGGCCCAACCCATAGATGCCAGGCCGACGTGATGTGTACAAGGACACGGCCTTGTTTGGATCATGGGGTTAGAGCTAGTTTGAGTTAGTTGGAGGTTTAAATAACCCAAAAGTATCCAAACAGGAAAGTTTAGAGTGGGTTAGTTTCATCTAACCCAACTATCCCGATGAAGAGATACTTATTTGGGTTAGAGTGGGTTAGAAAATAACTCTAACTCTAACTGTGTTAGAGTATTCAAACAGGCCCAGTGTCACTCGTGCTCGTGTTGTATACTCCATAGAATAAAATAAAATATATCATTAGCTGTAGTTCACCGGCGCTTTGCTGGCTCGCCGACGGCCATGCAAACACTTCCACATTAGGCTGGACTGGAGTCTGAAGAGGTTGCGACGTCACCATCGTCCGCCATATGTATGTAGCTGATATCTGCGGCGAGCGACAGAAAACAAACCTTTCATCACTCAGATGGCAACGTATATCCACACGTGTAGGCCACACAATCATACTGTCGATATAGTTAAATTACTCGTAAATTTGAGTAGGTAACAGATATCCTTCACCTAAACTCTACACTATAAAACCGGCTTGAGTCGTACAGCGTGCAAGTGTGCTTGCTAGCAACAGAATTCTTAATCAGAGGAAGGAAAGGAGAGCATCCAGCCATGGCAGAGAAGAGGAGCCCCCTGCACCTGCCTCACCACAAGGAGGAGGACAAGGAGGGGGAGGAGAAGCAGCACGGCCATGACCATGGTCACGGTCACGGTCACGACCACAACCATGGCCACGGCCACGACCACAACCACAACCACAGGGAGCACGCCGGCGGGAGGGGGCTGGACATCGACATGGACCTACCGGCGTACGTCAACATGGGCTCCATCACCACCGCGGGCGTTCTCGTACGCACCGTATAGCACAAACAATTAAGCTTACTGATTCTGACGGTCTGTTTGCGACACTCACTGGCTAGCTAGCTTCATGTACGTGTGTGCAGGACTGGAGGTACCAGAAGGCGACAGGGGAGAAGAGGCCGGACAAGGTGATCGGATTGATCAGCGCCGAGCAGGCCAAGGAGGCCGAGCGCAGGGAGGCCGAGGAGCGCAAGGCGGAGGAGGAGGAGGGCGGGGCCGCCTGGGCCAAGAACAAGAACGTCTACCAGTTCTGATCGCCGCCGCAAGCCCAGCCGTGCATCGTGGTAGATGGTCTGAATGGAAAAAGTTCGCGAGAGATGATCCCTTTTTTCTAGCACGCGTACTATATGGTGTACATGTATCCACCGCTCACCGTCACTTGGAGATCCGTGCTACGTTTTCTTGTTTTGTCGAAAGCTTGTCTTGGCTCAGAGTGCTGCGCGATGTTTCATCGATGTTTTTTAAAATGTATCGTGATGTTTCGTTGTACTTTTCGAGAGTGTATTTCAGTAAAATAAGAGAGTACTCATCAGATTTGTATGTAATTTCAGAGGGTGTGTGCTCTTGGAAGGGATGGCATCTCATCGAGTTTCTATATGTTTTTAACGTCTACTAGTACTTTAACTTGTTGATTTTACAGCAAATAAGAAAATTGTCTTTGAAGTTGCAAGTGTTTTTTTCTTTTTGCGGAAAGAAGTTGCAAGTGTTAATAGTCAAGTGGGATGCAAAATATATGCGCTCCCGAAAAGTGAAGTGTAATAAACTATTTTCCTCTCACAGATGGTACAGTAAGGTTGTTATTATGCTTTCGGAGCCGAGATGTGAATAACTAGTTTTAACTTCAAAGTGGTAGTGATACTCTTCATGCATATAATGTTCCTTACTTAACAAAAGTATGTCTAGAATTAGGCACAGCGATAAATTTTCAGCCATGTAGGATTTTTGCTGATAAGAATTTGGAAGAATAACACTACTCTTTTAAGTATTAGACTACAAAAAATGTCTCAAGATAATGTGTACCATCTTTGGCACATAGGAATGTTCTGATAAAAGAAAGACATAGTGAAACCGAAAATACCTAATGGATCCTGGTGTAGGCATACCTCACATTGATTTTTTTAAACTAACAGAAAAAAAAGTCAACAATTCCGATTTTTCTTTGAAAGTTACGCGGAGGGTGAACTCCCGTGGGCCATGGTCTTCTGTGCGATTTTTTTTTTTGTGATCTATATGAAAGTTACTATTAAAGGATTTTTGAAGTTGCCGTTCTTTTGCCCAGAAGAACACAGAAGTCATTTCTTCGTGAAACTCTATATGTGAATAGAACACTCGATCATGTTCGCTACATAAAGTTTTAGAATTGCTTAATGTTTTTCTACTTCTTTAAAAGTAAAACAGTTTTGCTAAAACACATCTAGATGTGCCCTAAGTATTGCACATCTAAGTCTCATGTCCTTGATTTTACACGGACATTTGTGCAAACATTTTCTTTCCTCTTTTTTTTTCTTCCTAGTTTGATTGAGCCACTTAGATATGTAATAACTAAGGCATATCTAGATGTGTCCTAAACAAACCCTAATTAAAATGCTTTAGCAGGTGCGTCTAGACCCAAGTCCCAAAGATCCACACCCGAGTAAAGCATTCTTTCTGATATCAAAATTTAGGAAAGAGCAAAGCATGTTTTTCATCCCTAAACTCATCGGCTAATGCAGATGTGGTCCATTGATTTCACAACCACAAAGGCTGTACCATGAACTTCCAAAAACCGGACGCATTTCGTCCCCCATTTTGCATACAACGCATTATGCACCAGAAATCTTTGAACAACTAGGTCAAAACATGGTACCCCATTCTTTTTTTTAGTCTGCATATAAAATCTAGTCAAAGTCAAATTTTGTAAAGTTTGACTAATTTTATAGAAAAAATATCAACATCTATAATACTAAAACTATATGATATGAAAATTAATTTCATGATGCATCTAACAATATTGATTTCATATTATGAATCTTCATATTTTTTCTATAAACTTACGCCCTGTTCGGATTACCTCCGCTCCACAGCTCCACTTCTGGAGCGGGTGGAGTTACAGTGTTAAAACGTGGAGCGCCTGTTTTCTGGCTCCACAGCTCCTCGTATTTCGCGGAGCATGTGGGATTCCGAACAGGGCTCAAAGTTAACAAACTAAAAAAAAAACTCTCACTGGAACAGCTAGCTAGTTTTCATAGTGGGTGGATCGCACGCAAAAAGATGTTTTGACTTTTTGGTAGGGACGCAAGGATGCATCCTGATCGGGTGACTCGATCATAATCTTTGGAGGACACTACGTGTAGCAACTATAGCCAGTGGCACGCATGTATGCATCCTCCGAGACCGACAACTACTCCCCAACCGACGACCCAGATGGATTTTATATACTCCTCTCATACTAAGCACATCCATGCATGCATCGCCACTCTTCTGAGTTCTGAGATGTTAATATATCCATGCACGCGACTTGCACGCTGATTAGTATATGAACCCTGCAGATCTAGATGGATCGGATCGAGCTTGCAGATATCAGTTTATAAAAGCAGCAAGAGCTCAGTATATATACAGCTCGAGCTCGAGCAGACCACACGACACCTGCTCGTACACACAAATCACCACCACCGGCGGAACCAAAAGTATAGTCGTAGTACTCCGGCACCAACCACGGCAATGGCTGCACCGACGGCGGCCTGCCCGGCGGCCTACTCGTGGGCGCCGCAGGACGGGTGAGCACACAAGAAACACGACGCTTGGTTTCTACTAGCACCTGTAGATCACAGGGTTTTCCTTTTCCTCCAGAGAATTAATTTGTGGGTTTTAACTTTTGACACATGGATGGAGCAGGGCGCAGCGCGGGCAGAAGGTGTTCATGCAGGTCTGCGCGGGGTGCCACGTCATGCTCCCCTACGCCGGCCTCCGGGCGGCGGCGCAGGGCGAGGTGGGAGCTCAGACGGCCGAGATCATGGTCGCAGAGGAAGCTGTGACGGCTGCGAGACCCCCATCCGGTGGCTCATACACGCCGGACCTCACCGCCCTCACCACAAAAGTAAGACACTTTTTTTTTTATGAAACACATGTAGACGCTCGATTCATTACTGAAAGAACAAAACCTTAACTCTTGAAATAAATAAATAAAGTGCAAGCACACATGTTAAGTTTAGGACTTGAATCTAGGTGGTCAGGTTTCACTGGTACAAAAACTGATCAACTAAGCTAGTTCGGTTTGCAAGCATGCTCAAATTTCGGTGTTTTCTTCGATCGAACGGTTCTGAATTAGCGTTGACTTAGAAATAGTAGCATTTCTCGGTCGCATGAGAAGTAAGAAAACCACTAGTATGTTATACAGGATTCGTTGTTCTTTTTCCTTCTAGATCCATGAAGGGGCGGCTCTGTACACCACAGGGGGAAGATCATGACAATGATGCCTACGATGCTCACCGGCGGTGTCTCCATGTGCCAAGAGCTGACGAAGATGATGGCGCCACCAAGCGCCATGTGGATGCAGTTTGCCCAGCCCTACATTGGGACTATCCAGATGGCTTGATCGGCCTACCCGTATCCAGAGTTCAGAGTCATGCTATGCCGAAGCTTGCCTTATTTTCTTTGAAGCTTTTACATGTATCTTTGTGTTGACTTGAGTAGTATTGAGAATAAATCCCTCGTGCACACGGTGTTCAGAATGGGGGGGGGGAGTTTTTCGATATCAAGTGTCCCATGGTTTTGATGGAGTGTATCTTTGGTCTCAGTGTGCATTGTATGGCGAGCGAGTCTACATGATAATATCTCATCCTAAAGCACGGTAAGAAAAATGTCAACATCATCAACTCCCAAAGAATGTTTATTGAATGTGTTTTCGCTCTCAATGTACACTGTAATGGGTGAGCGCATGTGCACATGATACAAGCTCGAGGACTAGGACCGCAGATACACGCGGGCGTTAGAAAGCCGTCAAAGGCCAATGGCCATATGCATGAACAAATCGATGCAGAGGCCACGAATAACTCTATGAAAAAAAAATATGAGAGGTTGTCTCATATATTTTTCCCGAAGCTCCGAAAACCAGCCTTATCAGGAGAAAACGGTTTCTACATAAGTAGAAAAGCGTCTTCTCCATGATGTAGCATGTAGTAGTTGGAGTCACGGGCCATGTCACCCCAATGCAGAGAGTCACATCAACAACGCCTGGTCACAAACAATGCAATAATTCTAAGACAAACCACTCATAGGCATTTTTAATATTATAGATTTTCCTATTTTGGAAGTAAAAAAGAATTACATATTTTTAGTTTTATTGCACACATAATAGACAATCATGTATTCTAGAAACCTTGGCCAACTGTATGCCATGATATTTAAGGAAACTATAATAGAGGCAAATGTCAACATATATTTGCAATTATCTAAGTGGCATAAATTAATATGTGAAGATGTAGGCTTCTGTTCTTTTCCATGTTTCTCTGATTTATACAGATTTATTTCAAGAAAACATAACTTGTAATTATATGATCATATGTCGAAATAAGTTGTAATTATAAAAAAATAAAAAAGCTTAGTATAAATAAATGATACTAGCAGACAAGAGCTGTGGCAGCATATCGCACTCATGGTTGCGCTAGTGCGTGTTTGTGTTATTTTTTATTTTTGAACTAAGAGAAGGAGCGCATTTCCAGATGGCAACGGGGACGAAACTCATCGGGTTTTGCCTTTCCAAACCCATCCCCACGAGAAAATCACAAACCCGTCCCCGTCCCCATCACCGTGTGCGGGACTAGTTTTTCGCCCGTCCCCTAAACCCATCGGGTTTCGGGAAACCCATGGGGAACCCACGAGAAAATAAAAATATTTAAACAAACATAGTGGCGACAAAGAATAACATTTGAATAGCAAAACAAGCACATTTCAGCAGCATAACTAGAGCAAATTTCAACAAAAAAAACAATATTAGATGGTTCAACAGCTATATAGAGTATATTTTAGCAGATTTAAACAACATACATAGTATATTTCGGAGGCAGCAAACATAAGATAATTAGTAGCAACAATGATATCATTTCAGCAGCAACATAGTATATTTCAACAGGAAAATAACTGCAAATTTCAGCACAATACTCAGGAATAACATCAACTAAAAGAAGCCTATTTTAGCATAACTATAGCCCATTTCAACAACGAACATAAGCATATTTCAGCAACAAACAGGAGCATATTTCAGCAAAAAAATGTA